TTTTTTTTTTTTTTTTCCTTTCTTGCAATAGAGTAATAGAAACAAATTTCATAACAAATTGTAAAAAAAAATATCACTTTAACAGACAATTTTCATGTAAAACAAAGCCAAACGAACACTAAACTTTGATTAAAAAAAATGATTATTTAGTAAAAAAAAAATTATTTTTTTACATTTTGGCAATGGAAACAAATTTTATAACCAATTGTAGAAAAAATTATCACTTTAATAGACAATTTACATGCAAAATAAAGTCAAACGAACACAAAATTTTAAAATTTTTCTGGTGAAAAATTATACCAATCAAACACGATTAATTAACAATTCCATGCAAAACAATTACTCGACAATTATTTTCTCTGAAATTCATTTTCTTTCCACCCATTTTTCACCATTGCAATCAAACAGACCCTAAGTATATATGTCTTGTTAAAGTTTATCGAAACTTAGGCCTTTTCTTTTTATTGTTTGTTTCATTGTAGAGGTGCTTTTATTTAGGAGATATGCTAGAAAAACAAGGAATATTGACAGGGAAATTTTCACCGACACACTTGGCGAGAATTCATTGGAAGATGGAAATTTTTAAAACAAAACAGACCAATTACAACCTGCCACGTCGTGTTGGTTTCCAATCGCTGTCACTAAAACCTGTTTGAGTGGCTTTACTCTTTATTTAGTTAGACATCTGGTTGGTACTTGCATGAAATTATTCCTCTTTGCTCACCACGTTAAAAGAAGACAATAAAATTTATTTGGCTACTATTTATTTCACTGGTCAACAAAATTTATTAATTACATATAATCATTCTTTAATAGACATATAATCAAGCAAAAGATTTGAATTCAAGCATTTCAATCATTCATTTATTACAAATTATGCATGTGTTTGAGCATTAAAAAATACATATGAACACACTAAAAATGTTCATGACAAAAGTACATCACTGTTTTGATAACCCAGAAATGGAGAATTTTCTCGAACTCAAGCTCACTATAACGCGTTTATAAAGAAATTATAGTATTAAAATAATTATATAAAAATAAATACATTATTCTTTAATAGTTTATTCGGTCAAAAATTGCTTCTAAAATTAAGAAGTTACTTTTGAACTTACGTAATAATTTTTTAAAAGTTCTTTATTTGACTAGAAGAGCTTTTAAAGAAAATTGGATTAGGGTAGCTTCCTCTCCTACAAGGAGCAGAAGCCTTGTCAAAGGGAGTCCACATGTCCTTCTTCAACTTACGGATTTTTTTTTATTTTTTTTTCGTGCAGCTTTGCCAAACATGCTATTTAAACTTACCAGGATCAACCTCTGCAGCAATTAGCTCTATAAGGAGAGTTCTGCCAAGAACATCAGCTATAAAATCGAGTCCACAGCTCAACCCTAAGTGAGTGAGAACTCCACCCACCGTTTGCTGCACAGTGATGACTGCTTTAACATCGGTGGTGGTGGACTTCTTAGTCAAGGTTTTCACCGCTTTTATCGTGCTTCTCACCTGCCCAACATGAATATTTTCATGTTTTCTCATGGAGATAAACTTCGGAAAGATTGCAAAAGATGCATTTCCTCCACCTAAGATAAATGGCTTGTATTTTGGTAGTAGGATTTGATGATGAGTAGACTGTGGTTTGAAGAGATTTAGGTTCAACATTTTTGTTTCTATGATTTAGGTTATTACAAGTTTGTGTTGTGAGAACTCTTTGAAGTGTAGGCTTGAACTAAGAGCCCTTTAAATAGATAGGTTGACATGCATATATGGTTGCCCAAAGATTAGTCTATAGTAATTTTATGAAGTCTAATAATGCAGAAATGATATGGACCAGCTAATGTGTTGTAAGATCAAAATTTTGTTTGTCGCTTTTAATGTTTTATTATATTATACACGTTTCCAAGTACCCCGTGCAATAATAATAAATGGGGCACAGTGGTTGGCTCATTAAGACATAAATATGAAAAATAGTTCTATGATGTAATAAATTTAAGGGATTATGTATATATAAATGAAAACAAAATGAAAATATTGAAAATGGACCAATTCATTAAACAATATTCCCCGAAAAGATGTAATTATTTATAATTAAACTAAGCTCATTACAAAAACCTCAAGGTTGGCTACTAATGGACCTTTAGTTTAATCTATTCTATCCATGAAATGTCATATTCAAAAGGGAAATTGCACCGTTAGTATTCAACTTATTGTTCGATTGCAAGTTGGTTTCATTAAAATTCTCTAACAGTCAAAATGTTCAAGAATCTTCATATCTTGTTGACTTCGAGATTGATATAGGAAATATACATGTCTAAGATGGTGAATGAATTACTAAGCGAATATCATTTAACTATGAGTGTTGACCCTTGAAAATGAGCCAACAAATGTCGGCACACTCACGTCAAATCAAGCATTATTTCCGCGCGTTCCTACTGGAATAACGGCGGTGGCAAAGAGGAAATAGACATGGGATGTACTTTGAGGCGAGAAACAAGAATATTCGAACTCTGACAGATGGAACAAAAAGCAATCGCGCTAATAAGATCGTCGGGTTGAAATCAAACTAACCTATGTAATGACAAACGGGAATATGTGGAAGGATAAATATGATGTGTACTGAAATTGCTACATTGTATATTGAGATTTACAACTCATAAGCATACAAAGAAGATAGAAAATAAGCCCAAGTGTCTCTATATTTTTTCCAGAGTTCAAGTGTATATTTCGAATATATATATGATTGTCTCTATTCCCATTAATCATCCAACCCCTTCTAAGTTAAAAAGAGAACCTATTTATACTATCTTGACCGACATGATGACCATTGGATCAAAACCACGTGGTTTCATCTCTCTAATTAGGACTCACATCACTGTCTATTTATACAATTAATACATTGATAAGGGGGTAGCCGCTCTATACAATAAGCTGACATACTGACAACTTTTATTACAAGTGTTACATCAATCACTTCTAAGAGATCGTCAAATCTATTACAAGGAACAGTGTTGGAATCATGAGCTTCAGACGAGTTTGAGAGCCTCGGAGGAATATTCAAAGTGGTCCTCCAAGTGGAGAGCTTCGGCTCATTTATTTATTTCCTTAGACAACTTCGTCTTTGAGGTAGTGCCTCAGCTTGGATTTCGTCCTTGCAGTGTAAGGACTTCGACTTTGTTTGACTTCTTCGTATTTTGGCCTCATGGGTCTTTATTCGACTTTCGCCTACGTGACTTGCTACGTGGCATTGTCCCTTTGAGCCTCGGAGGCGAGGAGTAACAATAAGGTCATTATGGTAATGCATATTCCTAAACCTTCGAAATGAGGAAGTTGGTTCTAACATTTCATTGTAATCATATAATCAGGGGCGGAGTTAAGATCATAGAGTTGTAGGAGCAAATTTCACAACATTTTAACACAAATTTTAAAATTATAAGAATTTTTTTTTTAAATCTTGAAAAATCTTGTACAAAATCTCGGATATCAAATTTTGTGTGTGCTGGAGGGGGGTGGGCTGAACACACTACCCCTACTGTAAATTTGCCACTATATAGAATTAGTAGTCAACTATGGACACAGTCTAATTCTTCGATAAAAAGTTCCCTTCACATATTCAACTTCACTAAATTGGTTTTTAAAATTCAAATTTGAGTTGATGTATAATTATTTTTTTCCAAGTGAAACATGATTGTGCGAGGGGCACATTTCAAGTTAACTGAGGTTTTGACTCTTCTGTTATTGAGGTGTAAAGTAATTATGTAATTACAATGAAAAATGGAGAACCAACTGATAGAAAAATATAATAGGATTATCGATCAAAATAATAATCAAATCATTAATTCTCAATAACACAACCATAGATTCATTTCCATGTTGAATTCTGAGAAAATAACAAAACATAAAACATACTTATATCTATAGTAATCTGATTCTTTGTCTAGATAGGTTAGGATTTTTCAATTGATTGGTGATCTTCACTTCAATTTTTGCTTTCTATTGATGGAGATGTAGAGAAACTCAAGAACACCAACTAGTGGGGACCATAACCATATAAAATAATAGTAGTAACTCAATAGTCAATTTAAAACAACACTCAAGTCTCTACACTATAATTTCATGAAATTTAATACCCATTAGTCACAATATATCTTTAACGGATCACTTTAATTGACTAATATCCTTTAAATAATAGTACCAAACATTTTTCCCTACGATCCTTCCTCAACTTCTTCCTCAAAGACAATGTCTCTAACCTTATTTCTCCCCCCAAACTCAACATACTCAAAAAATGTTGCAATTCCTATTTCAAAAATTGACTTAAGTGTGGGATCATAGAATTTATAGCCCCTTGATCACTCAGAATAACCAATAAAGTAGCTGTTCACTGTTTTGGAGTCCAATTTCTTTTCATGTGACCTATAAGACCTAGCTTTAGTTGAACATTCTCAAATGTAAAAATGCTTTGGACTAGGATTTTTTCATGTCCAAAGCTCATAAGGTGTTTTGACAGCAGCCTTAGTTGGTACTTTGTTCAGAATATAAGTTGCAATCTTTAATACTTCTTCCCAAAGTGATTTTGGTAAAGTGGAATGACTAATCATACTCCTTACCATATCTTTAAGAGCCATGTTTCGTCTCTCAACTACACCATTCATGCTAGGCGATCCTGGCATGGTGTATTGTGGGACGATTCCACATTCCTCTAGGTATTTAGCAAATGGTCATGGACATTGTTCAACTGAACCGTCATTTTGTCGTAGTACTCACCACTACGGTCAGACATAACACTTTTTATCCTTTTGTTGAGTTGATTTTCAACCTCAGTTTTAAACACTTTGAACATGTCTGTGACTCAGACTTTTCATGAATAAGATATAGGTACCCTTAACGTGAGTAATCGTCTATAAATGATATAAAATATTGTTGACCATTCCAAGAAGCCGTAGGGAATGGTTTACAAATATCTATGTGTATCAATTATAAGACATCTGAAGGCTTGTTAGCACTTAATCTCTTAGTTTTGGTCTGTTTTCCCTTGATACATTCAATACATATATCAAAATCTGTGAAGTCAAGGGAATCCAAAATACCATCTGACACAAGTCGTTCAACTCTAGGCTTTGAAATGTGGCCTAAGCGCTTGTGCCATAATTTTGCTGAATTTTCATTATTTAATTTGCGTTTAGTACCCCGTGATTTCACATGCAAGGTTTCACGATATGATGGAACAATATCAAGCATGTATAGGTTATCAAATGCGGATAATAAACCAGTACCACTAACATTGGAATTTAATGAAAGACTAAACTGATTGTTTCCAAAAGAACAATAATATCCAAATTTGTTAAACAAGGAAACAAAAACCAAATTCCATCTAAAAGACGGCACAACAAAAGTGTCTTTCAAATTCAAATAATGACCAGTTTTCAACAATAACCGAAAAGTGCATATTACATCAACTTCCACCAACTTGCCATCACCCACATAGATGTGTCTTTCATCATCATTTGGCTTTCGATAGCTCAGATAGCCCTGCATAGAAATACTTGTGTGAATAGTAGCACCAAAATCTAACCACCATGTATTTCTAGGTACTGAAGATAAATTAACCTCAAAACATACCAAAGTAAGATTTGTACATTTATTTGCACGTCGGTGTGGTATTTTGTACAATTCTTCTTCAAATGTCCAGTTTTGTTGCAAAAGAAATAGGTCCTTTTGTCCTCTTGCCTTTTCCGTTGTACTGGACCCTTAGGAGCAGCTTCATATTCTTTCTTTCTTTTCTTGCCCTTATCTTTAAAAGTGCATGCCTTTGAAGTGCTTGCCAAATGAACATTTTCAATTCTGTTTTGCTTTGACATTTCTTCCTTTTGCATAACAAAATGAAATAAGCTCATTTAGAGACCATTTATCCTTCTGGCAGTTATAACTGACCTTAAATTGACTGAATTGTGTAGGAAGCGAGATCAACACCAACTGTACGAGCAAGTCATCAGATAGCTCGAGCTTTAGTGCCTTAAGTTTAGAAGCAATATGAGACATCTCCATGATGTACTCCCTTATATTTCTTTTGCCTCTATACCTTATTGAAATCAAGCGTGCTTGTTTCAGCCTTATCATTTTTCGCAAAACGTTTCTCAATTTCGGCAAGAAAATCCTTGGCATTAGTTACTTCTTCAGATACTGTGCCTCTAAAGGCTTCTAGAATGCAGTGCTTAATGATCATTAGATTCGTGTGATTTGAGCGATCCCACTTCTCAAAGTTCCTCTTTTCATCAGATGAACTTTCGTCCGCAAAAAGAATGGGTTACTATATCCGAAGCGCAAGATCTAAATCCATGCAGCCAAGAGCAATCAAAATGATCTCTTCCAATCCTTGAAGTTAGTCCCATTGAGCATGAGAATAGAATTAACATTTGCAGATATGGTAGTAGCAGATGAATTAGCTGTAGAGAGAAGATGATGAATTATGCTCATATTAATATTAAGATTCAATAATCAATAAATTCAAATAATGGTAAGTTTCATCTCAAGATACCTAGCACATCATTAATATCACGTTTTTGGATAGTAATATTAATTGTAAATTGTACTCTTGGTCTAGTGATCAAATATTGACAATAACTCCTGTGAAATAATAAACTCATCTTTGGATTGATTTATTATTCACATGGAAACCTTGTAATTGCCATACGTTTACCACCACAAGTGTGTATGCAATTCGGCCAAATATTAACCTTCCTTTGAGCCGGTTAATATCCGGAACTAGCATACACACGAAATCCTTCTAATATTCTAAGTTAATTAATTTCCACAAGAGATGTTGCTTTGGCAACATATTGTTTCAATCAATTCACTTTTGAATATTATATATACTCAAATGGTCTTTATACCAAAATTTGAAAAGTAGAATACTTAATTTTATTTATCTTGAAATTTTTAAGGGCCTAAGAGTTAATAATTCAATATTTTAGGGGTCAAAATTAATTAACTCAAAACTTTTAGGGGTTAATTGTTAATGATTGGAAAGTTTATGAGCCAATAATCAATTATGCGGAATTTTAGGGGCCAAACTAAACCAATTATGAACATTTAGGGGCTAAATAATTAAATTCGGAACTTAAATGGTCCAAATTAATTAATTTCAAAATTTCAGGGGTTGAATTATTAAAACCCATAACCTAAGGCCCAATTAAGATTAATTTTAAACTTTAAAGGCTGAATATTAAATAACTTAGCCCTAATCCTAATTTTTAATTGCAAGCAGGGGCCCCAAAACTTCAAATTTGGAGCCCAAGCCCAGAAAAATTTCATAACTGAAAACCTTAATTCCATAACTGAAAAACATTAATGGAAAAAGGCCCTTCATCTCCCTCCCTTGGTGGCACAAATGGCCGGTCCAACAACCCCGACAACCCAGCAGCATTTGGCGTTGCATGCAGCAGCGAGGAAGTTACCAGAGCTTCTGTTACAACAGTGGCAGCCTCGCTGTCGTCGGTACCGACGACGGTGGCTGCCCCAGATTTTTTTTTTTATTTTTTAAATCAGATCGGAAAAAACTTTAATCCATAAAAATCCGAATTTGTGAAGAAAACATTTGAATATAATCATAATAACATGTTTGAATCCATAATAACATGCTAATTTCATGTATTAACATACCGAATTGAAGATCATAACATAATATGCTAGAATTTCATAAAATAGCATGAAGATCAAATAATCCATAAAAATTCAAAATTTAAAACTTCAATTTCTCAAGACTTTCAACTATGAAATGGCTCTGATACCACTTAATAGAAAAACATAATAAGATTATCGATCAAAACAATAATCAAATCCTTAATTCTCAATAATATAACCATAGATTCATCTCCATATTGAAATCCGAGAAAATAACAAAACATAAAAAATACATATATCCACAGTAATCCGATTTTTTGCCTGAATATGTTAGGATCTTCCAATGGATTGGTCATATTCACTTCAATTTTGCTCTCTATTGATGGGAATGTAGAGAAACTCAAAACCCCAACAAATGAGGACCATAACCATATAAAATAATAGTAGTAACTCAATAATCACCATCTTTCAGTTGCTTCAAATTGGTCCCTCATCAATTTAAAACAACACTCCGATCTCTACACTATAATTTCATGAAATCTAATACACATTAGTCACAATACATCTTTAACGGATTACTTTAATTGACTAATATCCTTTAAATAATAGCACCAAACATTTTAATAGACAACGTGTGACCCCATATATGTTGAAAATATCCAACACCAACTTGCTTAGTTGAGCAACAGGTTGAGTAACAACACCACAAGATTACATATTCAGTCGCCCTCGAAAAGATGGTTGAATATTTAAACGTTATATGCATCAAATCAGTGATAATATTTGTATAAACTAGAGTTAATAATATTTAGAACTAACATTCTGTGGTAAATCGTTTTTTATGCTTTATTATATTATGCATATTTCGAAGTGCTTAATTTTAATAAATAATATTTGTACAGAAGTGGTTGGGTCATAAAGACATATATTTAAAAAAATAGCTTCAACAATAAACACGAGTTTTGAAGCGTCGACATTGGCCATCAGACACCACCTGGCAAGTTGAAAAGGAATCCTACTTGATTTTGACCTCGATTCTTGTGCTCTACTTCATCTATAACTTCAAGATTCGGCTCTTATATATACTTTACGTGGTGTAAGCTTTTAATAAACTCAAGATAACAATTATGTTATAAACTTGAAAGAATTGTTTAGATTTAAATTGAGAGAATCAAATATTGTAAAGACAATTTTAGTTTCTTGGTATAATAAATTCTCATTTTCTTCCATACAAATCTTGTTTTTTTATGTGATCCATTATTTTCATATTATTCTCGTCTTTAATTATTTGGTCGGATTCATAATAAATTGGTATTAGAATAATTCTGATGTCTTGTTTGTTTCTAACAAGTGGCGTCAGAACTGAATAATCAACTTGTTGACAGGAGTAAATTAATATTTATCCTAATCAATATTTGTATATATATTGACTGGATTTGTTTTACAATTTGTTTTTTATTTCCACATGATAAAAAGAAAAGAAAAAAAGTCCAGTTATAAAATTGGAAATTGTATTGAGAGTGGACAAATTCAGTGAACAAATACATTAATATGGCAAACTAAGCTGATTGGTAAAAACTATCAAACTGTTAAATCGAAATCATCTTCTTGTTCAAAAATCACTTCACTGTTATCAACTTTCTTCTTTTTGCCAAAACTTCATGTTGGTATCTAAACTTCATTTGTTTTAAATTGATTGCTAAAATTAAACTTCATATACAATTTGATTACTTCGAACATAAACTAACTAGAAAAGATGACGTGACAACTTCAATTTTAATCTCCTAATTAACCAATGTTGTCGAGTTCTACTTATAAACATGCCATATTGTTTTGTGGAATTAAGTTCAAAAGAAACCTAATATATTTAAGGGTAAGAGTAAATGTGAAAGGACTTTTTGCACGATTGATTATAATGGTTGTATAGCGCCCCTGGTTGGCCTTGTATATGTAGCATGATTCTTGCACGATATACTTCCATGAGTCTCGAGTTCTGCTCGAGAGACCATTTTCTATATATCATCATTTTTACAGTGAAAAACTAATGAGCGGATCGTCCTTTAAACGCTGATAATTGTTCATAAAAGTTATGTCTCCATATAATTTCCTCTAATCAAATGTAAATAATTATTCATAAAATCCAAGAATAGCTTTAACAAACGTAACTATTATTCATTTTCCCTTATTCAAATTCATACAACAGACAATTATTTAAGTTTGCCAATGCAAAGCATTCTTAATTACATCAAATGGAAATGCTATTAGGCACACCCTTTCCTGTTACACCTGCTTCAGAAAATGGCTTCAAAAGCTGATATGGAACTACTCCGGCTCCGAATCTATTCTTCAGATCCCCATTAGTATTCCTAGCATCAATAATTCCTTCAATCTCCTTCAATCTCCCAGTGAACTGTTCAAATATAGCATTTATATACTTATCATCTTTCCAGTACGGTTGGATCTTCTCCCCAAGATACTCCTCGTCGGGTGAATGAGACGATAAAACGTCTAAAATGGCCATAACAATGGTTGCTTGAACTTGTGAAGGGAAACATTTCAGGATAAACTCCTCGGGTTTCTTCAGAAATTCCTCCTTTTCTGAGTCTTTTGGATCTTCCGTAGGCATATTCGTTCTAGTAATGGTAGGCCGGTTTGGAAAATATCCTGCAAAATCGTATTGACCAAAGTTTACAGCAGCATGGTGTCCTGAAGATACCCAAATAATGGTTGTGATGATTCCAATTAGATCGTCCGGAGTTTCTAACACCGGCCACCAGGGCTCGTCCTTCTTGTCTGCATGGCCTTCTGTTCGAATTTCTGTCCACCATGCTTGGAGTTCAACGTCAGATTGTACAAGGTTTGCTTTGGGATAGTAGTAAGTGACATAGTCTGTAACCCATTTCTTAATGGCATCCCAAATAAGTAAACCATCGTTGGCATAAGGATAATCTTCGATTGTTAGTTTCAGGCCAAGTGGAGCCTTTGGATCCTCCACCGCCATTCCCCTAGACATTCCAGTCGTAAAAATATTCAGTTCTACTTACTATCTTATATTGAAGACTAAATTTCAATGAATAAGCATTTTTTTTCTATAAGCTATGAGGTGGTTCAACATCGTACCTGCTAATTAGATCAGCTGGCAGTGCTTGAAGATCAAATTGCCATAGCTGGTCGTAGACAGCAGAGCAGACCTCCATGGAGTATTTCCGGGGGGTGAATGCCCTCTCAATGATTCCATCTCCATTAATAAGGGCCTCACGAGCTAAAGCGTTGATCTCCATAGTGTATCGCAAGTGAGGATGTAATAGTTTATAAATCGGATGCATCGCACTTAGTTGTCGATTTGTTGCAATTATGTAAGGTTCTGTACAACAATGAGTTCTTAGCCTGCACATTTCCAGAAGTAATCTTTTCATAGTATGCCTCTATTTCAGCTTAACGAAATTGATGCATCAAGCCCAGATGCCCGTATAAAATTATGCAGAAGTGACTTCCAAAAGACTAAGCACAAATTGTCTAGTGTCTATTATATAAACTAGTAGAAATTAAGATGCTAACATAAATGTGATATAATCTTGATAAATAAAATAAGAACCATTTTTCTTTTCCTCGTCACAAAAGTTGATGAGTCTGATCATAATAATTTGATTCATAATTATTAAATTTCACCACGGTATTGATTCGGTAAGTTATCGAGTCACCATTTTCAATGGACGAGTGTTGTTCATATTTCAGATTTTTTTAAAAATATTATAAGTTAAGCTCCCTAAATAATGTTTATGTTTTTTCTTTCTTTTTTGAAAATAAAATATTTGATTAAAAAATGATTTTTGTTACTTGAAAATAGGGTAAACACAGTTCAGTTTGAAATGTTTTTGTTTTACTTTCATATCAAACTATTTAAACTCCAAACCAAACCACTCATTTTACGTTTTAAATCAAACCATTTTTTTGGTTCGATTTGATTTCAAACTGTAGTGTATCCAGCAACATGAAATTAACATTTTCCAAACAAATTAAAACACAAATATATTGGTCTGACGACAGTATACAGTTAGTTTTAGGTTTCGCATGAATCTTGAAATGAAAGAAATCAGAACTTACCAGTGACTGACTAACTGATGAATACCGGAGTCGTGAGCAAGGACATGGGCTTTAGCCAACCTCCACAGCCAGACACCAGTGGCGTCCCAACACGGCTGGAATACTTCCTTCCATTGTGGCTTCCCATCTATTGGCGGCCGTGTTAGCTCAATGGCTAATGGCCTCAATGTGCCTGAAGGCATTAGGAAAAACAATGTCCTCGATCCATACATAGTAGTTCCCTGAATCTCTCTTACCTTATTCACATAAGGTAACAACAAATCATGATAATCTAAAATGAAAAGTTTCTTCTCTTCCAATGCCTGCAATTGTGCCATGAATACATGGAGTTAAGATTGTGAAGAAATACAACGATGCTGAAAGCTCGTTGATCATGTCTTACCTTCTTAACAGTCGTGAAGCCTCCAATTTCTTTTTCGACTAGTTCCGTTGTGATTGCTGATTCAGCAGGTCCATATACCTCAGGGTCAAGTTTGCTCTTCAATGGCCATTCCTGCAATCAATTTTCTTTTATGATACTTTTTTTCTTAATTCCAAGACACTAATAAGAGACGAGTTTAACTAACTCTATACGCACATAATTAGAAAAGAAAGAAATCGATGAGAGAGTTAGCATATATGAATTCAACAGCTAACTTCATTGTTGTACGTGGGGTCACTGCTGCATAGACTATTACACATTTTCGCAACTACTTCTATTATATCTATAAATTATGTGGCATGCAAGTGATAGCAGGGGTGCCACATTGGCCGACTCGACGTCAATTATGTTAATTGGATTGGATCTTCGAATCAAGTAACCTCGTCTTGAGCTTGAGCTTGAACCTAGAGCATTAGCCCCACTTGGCTCATTTCTTTCTTCTATATATGTGAGTGAATTCATTTCACTCTATGTATATATTTTAATCCTAGCCAAATCCTCATCACCCATCTCTCGCACTCATTCTCTCTCGTTCGATCATTGATTTGACCATTGGAGTGCAACTGTGCTAACTATTGTAGAACTTTTTTTGGGTTGGTGACCTTTGAACCCCAATAGTGCATTCCAAGCATGCATGTCATATCTAGGTCAACAAGATCCATCAAGACATTTGAATTGAGCTAGATGAAAGAAGTTTTACAACTGAATAGGAAAGCATACCGTTACTAACTCAATGCAGCATGGATTTACACCAGCTAGAGTTTGTCGTGCGAATTCTTCATCCCTGAACCAAGAAAACCTATCTCCTGCAATAACAACAGGTATATTAATCTCAAGNAGATTCCACTGCATAGCAGTCAACTGTATGCTTATTTCTATGAGCTTGTTTGGGAGTGATTTTTGGGGGAAGAATTGATTTTGAATAGTGAAATGATGGGAAATGTGTGGTTGAAAAAGAAGAAAAAATTATTGATGTGATGAAAAATATTATTTTATTGGAGAATGTGTGGTTAAAAATAAGAATTGATTTACTGTAGAAAAATCTAAATCCCTCCCAAACAGGACCATAATAAGATGGAAAATAGATAGGTGCAAACTTACTGTCATATACTTGCGGTGTCTCAAAAAGCAGGATATCCTTTTGAAGATCTGTAATAGCCTTTACAAGCCTGGGTATAATATTTCTTAAAAAACCTGTAGATTTTTGCTTTGGTAGCTCAACTCCTTCATTGAACAGAGTCTCTATCGCGGTGAAGTGGGGAAATCCAAGTTCACTGTCGATTATAGAAGTCTGTATTGATGGTACCAGTGAATGGAGCACTGAGTACAATGTTTTAGCCGAGAATGTCATTTGTTTCACTTCTGAAAACGCCTCATCTCTTGGCACATATACATTAAGGCTCCTTGACTCCGATGATGGATCTACATGTTGGAAAAAAAGTATGAATGACAGCAATGGAAACAAAGAAAAATGGAGAAGAAGATGAATATTAATATTAATACAAGACTTGATCACGAAATGAAAACGTTGTCATCAAACGATATTTGCCTCCTTTCTCTATGCTTTTAAAGATTGAAAATGGCAAATAGTTTGTAGGATTATCAAGCCTTGAATGAAGAACATCAAAAGCAAAGTGTTTCTTCAAGTAGAACAAGTGAAAATATAGAATTGATTATGTGATGTAATCAAATTTGACCAGAATTTATAGACGAATAATTAGATGATTTCATACATTTTAGAATGAAAAACTAACGTGAATTTATAGTTTTCAACCATTCCTACACGAACTTGTTTCAACACAAGAAGAGGTGCAATGCTTCACCATAAAGCCACCAAAAAATTCAAAAAAATCCAACCTAATGGTCGGATTTTACTACTATGCGGTCGCATAGTTATAACAGTGCAGCCCCCTGAATTTCTACAGTTGCCTATGAGACCGCATGCCAATATGGCTTATGTGGTCGCACAGGCCATTTTTATGTCGCCAGGGTTAGTTTTTCTTCCTCTTTCTAATTCATTCATCATGGTTTCTTCTCTTGATTTTTAAACAATAATACTAACAATCCCCCACTTATGTATCAAACGAATGAAACTAACAGTTTTTAAAAAACTTATAAGTAAATTTATTGTGAAAAATCTGTACCTGTCTCGGTTCTCGCTCGACCAGTTCTGCACCGGCGAGGATATGGATGTTCCTTGCCGCCGAGCACCGGCCGAGCTAAATCCTCGCTGCTGTCGGGATCCCCGAGATCGTTATATACATCATAATCGTAGATCCTTTCGTGGGTCTTGCGTTCTCCGGTGCCATCGCCTCGAAGAATTTGGAGCTCTTTTTCTCTGTAAATCTTCAGCCCACTTGGTGTGTTTGATGGCAAATACGACTGCACTCTCAAAATTACACATGCAGGTAAAATGAGTAAAATTATAATTAAAATAACGTATCAAAGTCATTTATTTTTACAGTAAAATGAAAATTACATAATCAACGTCACTATTAGTGTTAACATAAAATCAAGATGCACGAGTCCAGTCTGGTTCAATCACTCTTTCTATTCTCCAATAGTGGTCCTAACGATCGAAACTTTTTGTTTGAATGAATATTTATGTCTTTACTCTCTTATTATGACCCGTTTGTTACAATGTAAGATATTATCTACAAATTTTGTTCCCATCTCACGAAAACCATACACAAACATCAACTCGAATTCTCTTATTGTGGTACTAACAGTGGAAAGTTGTCAATTTTTACTATTTTTTATATGAAGTAGGTGGTTAAAAAATTGATATAAATTATAAATCTCATAAAATATGTGACTAAAATTAATTATTAAATTTTACTTAAATTTTTATTATAATTTTAAGTTACACCATAAAAGGGGGCTAAATAGTCTTTTTCTTATAACAAATATAAAAATAAATTGTGGTAGATAAAGAGAAAATCCTTCCAGCCAATGATTATAACCTTTCTTATTCATCAATCCTAGTAATAACATTCCACGTGTCCAATGCCACAACCTAAGTTCGATCCCGTTGACATCAATGACATGTGACAGTCCTATTTCATAAAATTGGAATAAAGGTTACTATACAACATGGACCACCTAGAAAAGTTGGACCAATGGACGGACCATATATGAAAAATGCAATGACTACATAATTGTATCCATAGGGCCCCCTATTGGTGGGGCGCTGGTCAAAACCTTTGTAAAAAAATGACGAGATAACATCAAAAGATGGAGATAGCTAGACTAACCTTGTCAACGAAAAATACCCTTGGTTCTTCGTTATCAAACTTGGAATGAACCCATGAATTACAAGTGACATTGATTGGACCACCATATACCCCATCGAGGACAATACTTTCCACGAACATTTCTTTGTGGTGTTCATTCTCTACGGTAATTGCTCCAACCTCACCAAAATCTTCAGGAACATTGAAACTAGACTCGTAAAGTGTATCATCGCCATCTCTGTCCTTTTTACGAGCATAGGCTTTGATTTTTGGCTTCTCTGATCCAGTGTCTTCAAAAGATAATACAAAATAATTTATTAAAATAACTTAGATAATAGTACTGTGACGTTCACATAAATTCTCTAATTTGAGGCGATAGATATTCTTATATTCGAAGAATTTCTCAAACTAGAATAGCTCATTCGATAGTGGGATGGCGTGATAATAAATTGAAATCCGATCCACCACATCGCCTTTAAGTTTTATTTCCTAAAATTTTATTATTAGTAAAATGGAACAATTTCATGTTAATATACTATCAAGCGATATAAAAAAATTTAAAGTAGTGAATTTTACAATATATTTTTACATCATAAAAGTAAAATAAAAATAAATAATAAATTAAATTGGCAAAACATAGGAAATAAAAAATAATGATGTGGATTGAGAATTTTTTTTAGAATTTTAATTAATTAACCAAAAAGAACTTGAACTCTCGACGATCTTGAATCCGATCAATATCATGAACAATAATATCTGAGTTATCAAATCAATTAGTCACTATTTTTATTTTTATTTTATTTTTTTACAATTTTTATTTTCTAGAAATTTCCAAAATTTACTTTTTTTAATATATATATTTTTAGAATTTTAATTCTACTTTTTCTAGGATTTTAATTTTTAAAAAATTTAGATTTTATTTAATTTTTTTTTTTTTAAGTTGTGATTTTTTTTTTTAAATCTAAGAATTTAATTTTCTTAGAAAATTATATTTTAATTTCAAGAATTTTTAGTATTTAGTCATTATTTAACTCTAATTTTCCATGTTATAAGTGTTTTAAGCTCTTTCGAAAACACTAAAAGTTAAAAAATATATTTTGAGTTTAATTTTTTAATTTTAAAATTATTTTCAAAAATTCATTTTAAGAAATATGAGACCTAAGAAGTTTCGAATATTTTACAAAATTAAAAACTGTAAAACAAACGCTTGCTTAGTTATCTCAAACCTCACTATCGACTTTCCTTCTTCTGGTTCATTCCCTGTCAATTAATGAATGTGCTTTCAATTCATTCGACATTTGATTTCGACATTTGATTTCAGTACTCGCCTGAAATTATTCATCTTTCCCCTGCACACTAAGCCCGTGTCTGGTGCTGGTGCTGCTTTTTTGAATCAATTCATCAGATTTTGATACAAGTCAACTCTATGCTTGAAAAAGTCATGACATTGCAAGTGGGACGGTATGGAGCAATAACTTTATGTAACAAAAATCTGATGAATTGATTACATGTATTTACTTTAATGCCCTGACTTATTTTGGTTGGATTTAGGCAACAATTGTGGTGTAGTGGTGGCAAAAAAGCTCATCTGCTCGGACTTGGTCTTAAAAAAACCCGAGCTGGAAAACTCTCGCTGGCTCGGACTCGATCCTGAAAAAGCCCGAGCCGGAAAAAGCCCGAGCCCGACTAAGGCTTTTTTCGGGGCCGAGCCCCTGGCTCGGGCTCAGCCCCATTTTGGGGGGGCCGGCCTATGATTAATTAAAAAAAAATTAAAAATAATAAAAAAAATTTAAAGCTAAAATAGCTGGAAAAAAAAAAAAAGAGCCGGCTCGTTCCAGGCCGCTAAAGCTCAGGCCGAGACTTATTTTTTTTGGCCGGGCTCGTTCGGCCGAGCTTTTTTTTCTTTCGGCTTGTTGACATAGCTATTGTAGTGTCTTTTATTATGTGGTACATGTAACTGTTGAATGTCTAGAGAAAATGGTAAATATAGACAATTTCATAAATGATTCAAAATCTACAGCGTGGGATCCCTTGATATGATGGAAAACCGATTTGGGTGAAAAATTAGTCCTGTTTGTTTCGTATTAAAATCTGAAATGATTCAAAATTTACGGGGTGCGATCCCTTGATATGATGGAAAAGTGATTTTGGTGGAAAATCAGATTTTGGTTGTTTCGGATTAAAATCAGATTTTAATCTAAATATAAGTAAAAGTCAAACAATCAATATTAATCACATCTTTATGGTCCCACAGTTTTTCAACCACACATTTCAAAAACTCCTATCACAATTTACTAAAAATCTAATTTTAATCTCCATCAAACTCCCACTTAGTGGTCCCAACAAAAGTATTTACATTATTTGGATGACAAAAATTTAATGGCTGCACTCAAAAGAAAAGACAACGGAATGTTTTCCACATTAACAGCGACGAATTTCTTGACATTCTTCAAGTCGAGTAACTTAAAAATACAGATAAAAATGACGAAGAAGAAAAATGCTAATTTTGGCTTAAATATTTAGATGGGGTGGCTTAACAAAACCTTTTTTAAAAAAATTTTTAAAAAACTGTAAAAAAGAAAAGAACATAAAGACGTGTAAACCCTAATCTTTTTATTATAAAATTTGTTCTTAGTTATTCAAATATTTTACTCTTGTAAAAAAGGGTATACATATACTTACGAGGGTCAAGCTCAGCAGCAACAAGCTCTATAAGGAGGGTTCTGCCGAGAACGTCACCTATATCATCGAGTCCTCTGCTCAGCCCTAAGTGAGTAAGGGCTCCACCCACCGTTTGCTGCACAGTAATGATAGCTGTAACGCTGCTGGTGGTGGTGGTTGATTTCTCGGCCTTCGAGGTTTGCACTGCCTTTATCGTGCTACTCCCTCGTCCAACACGAACATTTTCATGTTTTCTTACTGACTTACACTTCCGATTGACTGCAAAAGAAGCATTTCCACCACCCAAGATAAAGGGCTTGTAATTTGGAAGTAGGATTTGATTACTAGTCTGTGATTTGGAGATACTAAGGTTCAACATATTTTTTTGTTTGATTCAGATTATTCTAAGTTCGTTGAGCACTCTTTTATGAAAAACGGTGGAGTACAAATGCTGTATCGACCGGATATCCGGTCGGAGAAAGAGGAAAAAAATGGAAACTTCAACGGAGTAGTTTTGTTCGGAAAATCAAGTTTTTGCACTTAGTGGAAAGCTGGGACTTAGACCCCTTTATATAGAGAAGTAGACATGTAGAGATATTAATATTCAACGTGGAAATTAAAGAGCCTACAAGAAATTTATATAGTAGAAATAATGTAGGGATGATATGCTATGACGAAGAATTATTACGTAGAGTTTGTTCACACAGTAAATTTTTCCGTGGTCGAAAATCTTTTCGTGGGTATATTGGATATTTCATCCCTAGGTTACCATAACTTTCTTATGCGTGTGTTTAGAGGTTTTTAGTTTTGTGGATGTAAGCAGGGGCAGAGTTTTGACTTGAATTCATTAATGGACGGGGTACACAGGCAATCAAAGTTATGGGTCATAATCGAACTTGCAAAAAAATTGAGAGAAATGTTACAATCGAAAATTTACATTCAAAAAAATATACCTCATGTAATGTTGCATCTAAAAATTTACATAAAATATGTTTTTTTTCGGATGTAAAACTTCGAAAAATTTTGATGTCATATCCCATATAAATTTCCTAATAAAATAATGCAAATTACATTAAGAAATTTGTCCACAAAAATAATAAATGTTAATAAAATAATTAAATGTTTTTAAAAAATGCGAATTAGAAGCCTCTTTTTAAGACGTACGTTTGATGCATCTTTAACTATTTTAGATGTATGTTTGAACTATTCAATATTCTTATAATGTAGTCCTCGAAACGAGCTTTGAGATGATATAAGCGATTTGAAGATTCGACTACCGTACGATCGTCGGAGAATTTTTAAAGTTAGCATGTTATTGAAATTCTCGAAATACTAATTTTAAACCGCCTACTTTGACAAGTCATAACATTTGTTACGATTGATTGTTTCGCACGCCGTTAACAACATAAAAAATTAGGCTGTGAGCACTTCGAAATGGTATTAAGAATGTAATATTTCGATTTCGTTTCACATCTTATAATGATTTTGAAAATTAAAACAAAACATAGAAAAAATTTTTAAAAAAAAAAGGCAAAATTGGGTTGGGGTGGGGGGCGGGGGTGGGACATGCCCCTCTAGGCCCACTCCTGGGTCCACCAGTGTTAATGGAATTAACTATGGAAAAAATTTTCAAATATAAATATATTAATTTTAAAAATTAAAACTAAAAGAATAAAAAGGACACAATAATTTTTCTCAAATTTCAGCAGGAGCCTAGAACCCTACTGGCTCCCAATTGACTCCGCCACTGCATATAAGAAACGTGATAAAAAAACTATTATCTATTTTCTCTAACATTGATGGATACAAGTTTGCGTTGCGTGTTTTGATTGTATTCTATCAATTTTGAGGAGACCAAGTGAATGGAAGACAAATTTGCTCTTTGAACGGGTAATTAACGAGATAAACAGATATTTGCCTTCCAAGATGCATGACCTTTCTGCAATGGTCCACAAGCCTGGTGTACAAACTGGAACAATCGATTTTCCTTCAACGAACGAGTAGACGCCACATCATCAAATGAATGTATGATTGCATCGTCACTAACATGCCAAGGCACTGATGATTACAATTCCAAAAAGTTTCAAGGCTTTTCCATCTCCTATGTACGTGTGATCCACTAAAGTGCCCCTGCATCTGGCAAAATCATCAGGTGGCAAAAAGTTTATGGCTTTTCCAGCTCCTATGTACGTGTGACGAGAACGAAGTTTGGAGTTGCAATGGACTATTGATTTCTTCTCAAGATGTAAGGAAGAAAATCATCAGGTGCCAGAGACTTGGCATGAGAGCTATCACTATTTCTTCGGCAACATATCTCAATTGCCAATAGATGATTTGGGGTTGTAATGGCCTCGATTTTACATCTCTAACACAGCAAAACGAACACAAGGAAGCTCTCGAACAAGTATATGCTTCCTCGAAAACCCAATTACACAAAACTTATTTCAACAATGGATTTTGTAAATCCGTTTGAACCCATCGATGTGCTAGAAATATAATTCGCTGTATTTGTTTCTTACCATAGATCCAACTTCAATTAGGTTAAATGTTACCTAAAGACGTTTCTTCAATAAAAACTCATAAAATATATGGCTATGTTGAAACCATACGTGACATATTAAAATCTAAGTCCAAAATCTTATTTAATTATATTCAGGCATAAGAAGGATTACATTTGTTTGTAAACTTGAGTAGCATTTTTTGGCTGCCGAAATCGAAACCACATGGACCACTTGTGTACCTATCAATGTCAAAAATCAAACAAAAAAACAAGAAGTCCATTTCTCAAAAGGAAAGTCTTGAAACTGTACCAATTCATTGTGCAATATAAAAATATGTCATATGGTAGTCCCCAGGGCATATCTTCAAGTGGTGAAAGGGGAAGGTGGAAAAACTTCAGCTTTATTTGAGGTTGCCGCTTCAATGGTTCGAATCTTGAAATATGAATTTGGCCCATGGGTAAGTGTAAGTGTATAAGCAGTCTTTCACCCTATACCTTTGGAGGCATAACCTGCGATTTACCTCATTCACCAATATCCAGGACATGGCAAGGCAGGTTGGGGCCGCTAAGGATGCGGTTCATCGTTTTTTATATAAATATGTCATATGGTATGCCAAAGTAAGCTCACCGACACAATATGAGTGATTTTTTATACAAATAACAAATATCCATTCAATCATTGTAATGAACATATTTATTTATAATATCTAGGACTACTTATCCCCATTTTTTAAAGTTATTATATTATGTCCATGGATTGTCACATTCAAAACTCGTCCCAAAATCCGGGCTGTGAATTATCTTTAGAAAAAATAACGTTCATCGACGAATATATATAT